CTGAGCAGGACTTAGACAAGCTTGAGTAAGAGCATCCCAGTCAGTAGGAATCATTCGACTGGAAACAGTAACATTCTTTAACTGTCCCATTACAAAAGGAGAACCTGGTCCATACTCATTTATAGCTTGTTTTAATTATTTGAGTAACTTAAAAGGAAAAGGCTCAAATGTAGCTGTAATATTTCCCTGTTGATCTGGGGGGTGTATTCTAACAGGGAGCTGCCAAGCCTCTAAATCTCCCTTTTGTCTAACTTGCTGAATTCCTGCCTGAATAGAACTAAGAGCGGTCGCTCGAGGCACTGCTCAAACAGTCACTGGGGCAACTACTTTTTGCCCAGTGTCCTCCAGAATAGAAAGATCTGGAGGGTCTTTTTTCTTCAAAATAATAATGAGAGAGTACAGAAGGGTAGGGATGAACCTCTCCCTCCTTTGCCGCTTTAGCTTTAGCTGGTAAATAAACATGCTCTGTAACCTCTTCTGTTACTTTGCTATACCCTCCTTCCTCCTCATCATCAGTGTGAAAAAGTTCCAAGGTGAAACGAACCAGACCCCACACCTGTCCCATTGTTACCCTGACACTTCTGAGCTCCCCTTCTTACTCACCACAGGGATTGCTTTAAGAGTACTCAGGTGTCCTCCAGCCAGTTTTCCATTCCAACTGTCGCTCTGGCAACCCTTCGACCTGGATTCGAGCCCCCATGAATGGACACCACTTGCCCAGACCAGCTCAATGGGGGAGACCCTAACCCAGTGGTGCTAGAGGAATTAAGGACACACACACACAGAAATATAGAGGTGTGAAGTGGGAGATCAGGGGTCTCACAGCCTTCAGAGCTGAGAGCCCTGAACAGAGATTTACCCACGTATTTATTAACAGCAAGCCAGTCATTAGCGTTGTTTCTATAGATACTAAATTAACTAAAAGTATCCCTTATGGGAAACAAAGGGATGGGCCAAAATAAAGGAATAGGTTGGGCTAGTTAACTGCAGCAGGAGCATGTCCTTAAGGCACAGATCGCTCATGCTATTGTTTGTGGCTTAAGAATGCCTTTAAGCGGTTTTCTGCCCTGGGTGGGCCAGGTGTTCCTTGCCCTCATTCCCGTAAACCCACAACCTTCCAGCACAGGCGTTAGGGCCATTATGAACATGTTACAGTGCTGCAGAGATTTTGTTTATGGCCAGTCTTGGGACCAGTTTATGGCTAGATTTTGGGGGGCTTGCTCCCAACAAAACTTAAATATACAAGCAAAAAACAAGCAACCCCATGAAAGAATGGGCAAAGGACATGAACAGACACTTTTCAAAAGAAGACATATACATGAGCAATAAGCATATGAAAAAATGCTCAGCATCACTGATCATTAGAGAAATGTAAATCCAAACTAAATGAGATACCATCTCACACCAGTCAGAATGGCTATTACTAAAAAATCAAAAAACAAGAGATGCCGGTGAGGTTGTGGAGAAAAAGGAACACTTATATACTTCTGGTGGGAGTGTAAATTAGTCCAGCCATTATGGAAAGCAGTGTGGTGATTCCTCAAAGAACTTGAAGCAGAATTACCATGCAACGCAGCACTCTCATTATTGGGTATATACACAAAATAATATAACTTGTTCTACCATAAAGACACATGCACATGTGTGTTCGTGGCAGCACTATTCACAATAGCAAAGATGTGGAATCAACCTAAAAGTCCATCAACAGTTGACTGGATAAAGAAAATGTACATACATGTCATGGAATACTATGCAGCCATAAAAAAGAATGAGATCATGTTCTTTGCAGCAACATGAATGGAGCTGGAGGCTATAATCACAAGCAGGGACAGAAAACCAAATGCTGCATCTTCTCACTTGTAAGTGGGAGCTACACATTGAATACATCTGGACACAAAGAGGGGAACAATAGACACCAGGGCCTACTTGCAAGTGGAGAGTGGGAGGAGGGTGAAGATCAAAAAACTACTTATTGGGTACTATGTTTATTACCTGGGTGATGAAATAATATATACACCAAACCCCTGTGACACACAATTTATCTATAGGACCAACCTGCACATGTACCCCTGAAACTAAAATAAAAGTTTAAGAAATGACTTTGAGCCCTGTTTCTCTTGGTACTCTTCATGTCATGGGCATTTTAGGGAAAAAATATAAAAATTTTACTTAACTCTTTGTCTTACACTGTTTGCCAAAATCTATACCAGATTAATTGTAGATTTAAAAATAAAAATGAAACCATAAAAGAACTAGAAAATATATAAAGAGTTACCTATAATGTCACATTAGGGAAGGCCTAAGTAAGCATGACACTGAAGGCAGTAACCATATAGGAAAAGATTATTAGGTTTAATTACATGTAAGGAAAGCTTTTCACACCCTTTGACCCAACAGTGTCATTTCTAATGACACATCCTAAAAAACCTTTGGACAAGTGTATAAAAATTTACATATGTAAAAACATTAACTACATCATTGTTTATAATAGTGAAAAACTGGACCCAGTCTAAATACCTATCAAAGATGATTAAACGCTGATGCATCCATATTAAAAATTACAATGTAAAAATGTAGTTATTGACATAAAAAAGGTTATCAAATGACACTTTTCATCTGATCCGATTTTGTAAAAATACCTATTTATACACATAGAAGACTTCTAGATGTGCATGAAATGTTAGTAGAGGTTATTTGGGGGTACTTTAATAAGCTCTTTTTCCTTTTGCTCCTCTTTTTTATGCATATATGTATGTATGCATGCATTTATGTATATGTAAGGAGTAGGTATATCTTGTATAAAAATAATTGAAGCTTAAAAAGATTTTGAAATTTCCATTTCTCTCTTTTCACTTGTGGATTTAGGTCAGACCTTCTCCAGGAAGCTATTTGTTCCCCTTAAATGGCCAGTATAATTCCTGAAGCCACCCCTCATCTTTTGTATTTCCCTATTCAACTGTCAGTTCTTGAAGATAGAGTTGTAAGTTGTGTTTCATTATTTACTGCCTTTCATACACATGCTCAGTAAGGACTGGTTGGCTGGTGATGGCCCGATTTCCTCAAAGCATGCTTTTGAAGTCTGATATAACAGTGCTTACCCTTAACCAGCTGAAATGGTCAAAATCTTGGTCCGGGCTAGCACACTTTTGCCAAGAGGGCAGGGTGGCTATAATGGCTGTCTTTCTACTACTCTCCTAGGCTGTGGTGGCTGGCTGGCTGATAGAGCTGAGCCCTTTCTGTGTAAATCTTTCCCCAGACAACTTTCTTGTTCAAGAAAAAGGCATTTCTCAGGTTGAGTCGCTGCCTGTTATCTTTAATGTCTATGTAGTTGTGGTTTCCTCTCAGAACTTCCAAGCACATTCTCAAGAACTCACAATGCTGTTAAAAAAATTCATAAAGGATGGGTAACAAAGAAAGAAGACAAAGAACTAGGAGGAGAGGAAAGGAGAAGAGAGAAGGAAAAGAGAATTGAGATTCATGACCTTAAGTACAGCAGGTTGCTCCAATCTAAAACATCCCCTGGACATAACAATAGCTACTGTTGCTCATGAAATTACTTTGCCAGAAAAGTCTACACAGACATTGGTTTTTCAAGAGACCTGTGAAAGCTCTGATGGCCACTCTGGCAGCCCTCCAGGTTAGAGACTTTACTGATCTCTAATAGGGCCTGCTCTTACAGTTAGAGATCATTCCAGGTTTGTTGCAAATATCAAATGAGATGATAAATGGAAATATGTTTTATAAACTATAATATTAAAATGCTTGGTGTTCCTTTTGTAAGCTCTTGAGGGCACTGACAGTGGTTTAATGTATAATTGTGTCTTCATGGCAGTTTGGAACAGATTTTAAATACCTGTATTTAAAGAAAGTCAAATCCAAATATAGAATGAAGAGAACTGATTTCCTAGAAGGGAAAAAAAAAGTGACTGTCTGGGAGTGACCTAAACTGTTTGGTGAGTTTTGGTCACCTAACTATATTAGAAACACCTTGGGTTTTCCAAGTGCCTTCAATTGATTAGAATTATTTTCCTTAGAAGTAATTCCCAAGAAAATGCTTGTGATTTCACTGCCAATGAAATGGTTGACATTTCTCATTTTATTTTATTTTATTTTATTTTATTTTATTTTATTTTATTTTATTTTGAGATGGAGTCTCGCTCTGTCGCCCAGGCTGGAGTGCAGTGGTGTGATCTCGGTTCACTGCAAGCTCCACCTCCCAGGTTCACGCCATTTTCCTGGCTCAGCCTCCCCAGTAACTGAGACTACAGGCACCCAGCTAATTTTTTGTGTTTTTAGTAGAGACGAGGTTTCACTGTGTTAGCCAGGATGATCTTGATCTCCTGACTTCGTGATCCACCCGCCTCAGCCTCCCAACGTGCTGGGATTACAGGCATAAGCCACTGCGCCCGGCCGACATTTCTGTTAAAGTGTCCATTAACTTATGGTAAATTACAATGGAAATGCATGTGGCCCTCACGAGTGTATTATGGTCAAACTTTTAATAAGTAACAAATTAAATCATGATAAGGAAGTGACTAAAAGTTAATCAAACACTGCTGCTCTGCTCTTTCCATGAAAATAACCCTTTGCTCCTTCCAAGTTCAACACATGAGACTTCATATCAGATTCTCACCTGAATGCATGACTCTTCAACCTCAGGACTTGCAGAATTAATGGAATGCCGTCCTAAGGTTGTTGAGTTGTGCGTTTCTGGGCATTTCATCTCTATGGAGAAGTACCCATTCCCTCACCCCAAAGACTGAGGTAGAAAGATTTTTCTCCCTAGGGAAAAATCTTCCTTGAAAGTTTTGTGGCCTCAAGAGCCAGAAGACAGAATGGGGAGGTTTGATAGTTGGATCCTTGCCAAAAGCCTGACCCTTGACTGTGAGACTCCCTCAAATTTGCAGTGTCTTGGGGATCCCTCCTAGTGACTATCTTAGAAAATAAACATTTTCTGTTCATTTCTAATGACTTAATTATCTATTTTCTTTTTCATATAGGTCCAGTTAAAAACAAGAAAAAGGGTAAGTTCCTTACTTTATAAAATTGCTGTCTTGTCATATCTTTTCTAAAATTAGAAGAAAAAAAAATCAAGAGTACGATTTTTGTATTACATTCTTTCAGCATTGTCTGTCCGTTATTTTATTCAATATGTTATCTTCTTGAGTATTGTAGTTTCTGAAGAACAAGAAATCATTCTTTAGTGATGATTCACCTCTTTCTTTCATTCTTCCTTACTCTTCTCCCTGCTCTTCTTTTATCTTTTTTTTTTTTTTTTTTTTTTTTGAGACGGAGTTTCACTCTTGTTGCCCAGGCTGGAGTGCAATGACGCAATCTTAGCTCACTGAAACCTCCGCCTTTGGGGTTCAAGCAATTCTCCTGCCTCAGCCTCCTGAGTAGCTGGGATTACAGGCACTCGCTTTTATCGTTTTTTTTTCCTCCTTTATCAAATCAGTGATTGGGTATGAATGAAATCCTGAGTCACCATGTAGGAACTAGATACGCTACCTATCAAAAGATGTCAGCACCCTGTTTCTTGGACTTAAAGCTTCCCTGATTTGATTTCCCAAAGAGTCAGGGAAGGTATTTCTTGCTTTGAGGATTCAATATCATTTTCTCTGTAATGAAAATGCTATTCTGGGGTAGTACCCTGACCGTTTAGTCTTTTCAAAGCAGCTTCCATTGTGCCGTTGTTGAGTCAGTAAGTCCCCAGTGTACTTGCAATGAAACTGGCCCTAGGGCACGTACAAGTGCTCACTTAACTAAAAGAGGAGAATCAATCCAAAGACAGAACAGTCTCCAAAGACAGGGCCAGGCAATATGGTCTACTACTTAGGACTGAAAAACCCAATTATGAAACTAGCTAAAGCACCTGTTTGTTTCTGGGTTCTGACCTGGGAGGAAGACAGAGTAAAACTAATGATTTTTCATGAAAATGCTTTAAGTGAAATGATGCTGTGTGATAAGATTTATGGAGCTTTATAGAATAGATTGCCTACCCCAGACTAGGCCAAAAGACTGGCTTCACCTGCAGTCTGCCACTTCTTCGAACACTAGGGTACTCTGGTGCCTTGAGGTATCATAGTCCACATGGAAAAGTTGTGTGCCTGTTGTAAAGAAGCTGAGGAATGACCTGACCTCCTGAGTGCCTGAACTGAGCAAGGTTGGAAAACAGCCAGGGAGCTGGAGTCAGTGAGGAAACCTTTCCCTGTGGGGCCTGGGCATTTACCACCAAGATGTTCTGTCTTTTAAGAAAGTAGATTTGATTTTCAAACATGTAGTTCTTAAATCTTGTCACATCCCTTTAAAACAGAAATTATAACTCAGATCATTGCCTGGCACTGCTACCTTGGACATTATTGAGAAGAGAGTGCACATAGGCCTTAAACATTTACTTTGGCTGAAAGTTATTTAGAAGCCATTTAATATGGATTTCCTTGGATATGGTGAATAGGCACATGCTTGAAGAGGTAAATTGAATTGTTCACTTAATTTTCACCCTTTAATGGAATTTTCCTCCTTCCACAACTCTCTCTCTCTCACTCACTCATTCACTCACTTTTGGTTGTTCTTTCATTTGGGGCTTAGCTAAAAGGTTAAGGAAATACTCCTTTGATGAAGTTTAGCTTTGAAAGAAATGTGTATATTCTTTCATCGAACACTACATAGGGTATGTTTCTAAGTACAGACGTCTCTGGGCTTTTATATCATAAGGTGTTCTGTTAAAGTAAGGAAATCCAGAGAAGGGAGTCAATCCTCTGAAGTTATCCTCTTGCTCCAGGGATCATTTTGTACATTCTCTTCTCTGAGCCCAGCTTTGTGTAAGTATACAAGTGTGAGAAGCACACTTGCCTAACCCTTGTTGCAGAGGAACAGAGGACCAGCTGCAGAACTGGAACAAAGCAGGAGTTTTTTCTCAAATGCCTTCTAACATTTTCATAAGTGAACATTCTGTTTTCACTGCAACCATTAGTCTCTTGGACTGGAGGAGTTTCTGGCTGTAAGTCTTCCAAAATTACATTAGCAATTACAGGAGACTCACATTCTTGAAGCTGAAGTTTGTGCTACCCACAGAACACCCTGTAGCTTGAAAATCACTGTTAGGCTTGGAAATCTTGGGACACAGGACAGCCTAATATGCACCAACCTCTGTGTCTATGCCACCTAGAAAATAAGGAGGGAGAAGCAAACCTTACAACCAGGCTAAGGAAGCTTCCTGACTGCAAGTGGTAAGTCACCCCTCCTTATGGAAGCTCAGTCAGTCTCATAAGGAAACAGAAATCATTGAGACCAAGCTCCTTGTTTCACAGATGTAGAAACTGAGGCTCAAGGAGAGGAAGGGATTTGCCCAAAGTGTGTCTGTGGCAGAGCTGGGGCTTACATCCTTATCTCTTGAGTACAGATTCTGTGTTCTTTCCACTACACTAGCTGGAATTGAAACTTGGGCTCTGAATAAGCCTGATTTGGAAGGTGTCCAAATCTGAAGGGAGATGGTTTTCCTGTTCAGCATCTTGAAATTGGCTAGATCTAGAAACGGGGCAGATCCAATCTTTTGCTGCTAAGTGCAGAGAAACCTCTAAAGCTCATGCCTCTAGGTCTTTAAGGCTACAGGGACTCTTCTGGGAGAGATGTTCTCTGGACCTTCCTTTCCTTCCTCTCTGAGGAAGAGGCCCCACGATGACCCCATGGTTTTATTCCAAATGCAGATGTGGTTAGACATAGACAACTGGCCTCTTGAGTGGCATTGCCATGAGGATTTGGTTTCTTGGCCATGAGGCATTCTTCTTAAAGGAGGACCTGATAAATCAGGACAGGATTTTCCTGCCTAAGGGTCTGGGGAGCAGGAAGTCAGAGTCAGTAAGAAGGTCTTTAGTGAGACTAGAAAGGTTGTATTTAAAACTAAGAAACTACCTCAGGTGAAGACATTGTGATGAAGTCTGGAAACAGGCTTCCATTCCTGAAACTTTCCATAAAATTGTGAGAAGGTGGTGAAGGAAGGAAGAAGACCTGCGCCCACCTGTAGTCTTTGAGTGTAGCAGCACAGAGCAGAGGAAGTCAACAGGAGGAGCTGGAGGTTTTGGTTCAAGACCACAGTTATGACTCATTTAAGATAACTACATCCTGGTGGGAATGTTGAAAGGACTGGAATATGAAATAGGAGGGTCGAGATTGTTCTAGAAGGATAGCAAGGAGGAAATGGGGGAAGAGTTGGTGGGCATGATTAGTAATACATTTGAGAATAGGACTTCTGAGGAAAGACTTTGGGAAGCTGGATTATTTAGCCTATAGAAATAGGGGTTGGTGGGTGACTTAATTTCTTTTCATATATAAGGATTATGTATATGTATATTCTTCTCTGTCTACGCAAATAGAATAAGAGCTTAAACTGCCACAAGAGGGACATCAGTTAATATACCAGAGAACTTCCTAACAGTGAGCAGTGAGGGGCAATAAACATTGGAACATGTTACTATGGAGTTTACAGAATTTCCTTTCCCAGAGATCTTTTAAAAAAGAGTTTACAGAGGTCAGCTAAGAAAGTGAAACCTGCTGCCTCCTCCTCAGCTCTCTCTACTCTCTGTCACTGCTTCTTTCCTGTTTCTCGATATCTCTCTCTCCCTCCCCCTCTTCCCGTGCCCCTCTTCCTCCTTCTCCATTCCCCCATCTCCAAAACTCCTTCCCATTTCTCATTCCCAACTAGCACTGTCCCCATCCCAACCCCCATTTCCTGTACATCCTGACTCCTAGAGGAACCTTCCTGGAGCTGATACTGTTCCTAAGGCCAGGCTGTACAGCTTCCTCTTGTTATCGACATCAAGTCCACCAAACTGGGCAGCAAACATAAAAGCTCTGCATTCTTCAACAATAGCCCAATTCTAAAAAGAACCACAAAGTGACCCATAGGTCTAATCACTTGGTAGTTCTCATCCTTTGGACTCAGCTGAAATGTAACCTCCTTTTTGAAACCTTCCCTGACCTCTTCAGCATTTGGTCCCTACCCACTAAGGTAGCACTTCTACTATCCCATTACTGTGTCTGTTTCCCCACAGACACAGACTGATCTCCTGGAGGGCCACTTATTTCTATATGCTCAAACCTAGCTTTGTAAATGCGTATTCACAAAAGGGAGTGGGGGGAAGGGAGAGAAAGCACAAGACAGACAGAGACAGGGAGACAGAGCTGTGTGATAAAGGTATCCAACTCTTTAGCAGGGACTCCCAGAGAGCTGACTTTGTGTCCTCAGAAGTCTGTAGAACTCCTGACAGTCCACTCATCCAGGAAATAACTACAAATGCAACACTGAGGCCAGGTATGGTGGCTTGCGCCTGTAATCCCAGCAGCACTTTGGGAGGCCAAGGCAGGCAGATCACCCGAAGTCAGGAGTTCGAGACCAGCCTGGCCAACATGGTGAAACCCCATCTCTACTAAAAATACAAAAATTAGCCGGACACGGTGGCACGTGCCTGTAACCCAGTTACTCCAGAGGCTGAGGCAGGAGAATCGCTTGAACCTGGGAGGTGGAGGTTGCAGTGAGCCGACATCGCACCACTGAACTCCAGCCTGGGTAACAGAGCAGAACTCCATCTCAAAAAAAAAAGTAACACTGAACCCTATTTTTCAGGAAAGAAAGCAGGACCTCCTGGACCCAATGGCCCTCCAGGACCCCCAGGACCTCCAGGACCCCAGGGACCCCCAGGAATTCCAGGGATTCCTGGAATTCCAGGAACAACAGTTATGGGACCACCTGGTCCTCCAGGTCCTCCTGGTCCTCAAGGACCCCCTGGCCTCCAGGGACCTTCTGGTGAGTTCCCCTGTCTTTCCACCCCACCAGGTGCCTTACAAGTACTTTAGGAGAGCAAGAGTGGGTGATCCTGAGAGCAGTTTCAAACGGTGGAGATGGGGTTGGTGTGCAATGAGGGATGCAGCTCTCCAAGACCAGTGTAAAACTAGGAATTGAACAAGCCAGTAGGGCCCGACCTGCTCTAGCTTCTCATATCTACCAACCTGTCAAGGACAGGCCACCTGTTCTTACCCCATCTCAACCCTTCTATCACAAGCCCTCCCTGACTCTTAGCCTCCCTGTAGTGGACCATTAAAATTCATATGAGCCAGAGACAGAGGCCCTGGTGGTTCATTGGAGTTCCAGTGGGGAATAGATTTAATCTTCTCTGATTCCCTGCATCTAGCTCCACATGCTGATGTTTGCATAGAAACAGGCTATGGAGTGGAAAGTTGAGGACTGAACAAAATGACAAGCCCTAGGACAGTTTCATCTTATGAAGTCTGAAGTGCTTTTCCCATAGCAAGTAGTCACTAATGGTCAAGAAGTTGGAAACTTAAGAGTCACTCAGTCTGTGGATAAAGCAAACCCAGGCACCAAGGCTGTCCCATCCAGGAACCAAGTGCTTCTTGCACTAGGTCCTTACCCTACCACACTTGCCATTCAAATGTCATTTCATCCCTTTGCATCTTTCTCCTTAAGCCCTGAAGGGCATCTGAAAGGTATGAATGCAGATCCAAACCTGCCTAATTGGCATTGACAAGAGTCAGACTGCCTGGGCTTATGTCAGTTGTTATTTCTTCCCCCTGCTCCCCACTCCCCCGCCCTGTATCTTGGGGCTTTAAAGAAATGGACCCTTACAGCTGATTTCTCCAGGGGCAAGAATTCTGCAGCAGGATTCAGATTCTTTAACTTGTACTTCACACAGGGCTAAGCAGTGTTACCATGGCCACAAGAGATGGAGTTGGGGATTTGTTTTCATCCAATCATTCCTTAAATATTGAGCACTTTCTGTATACAAAGAGACATATTGATACATGGTCCTTTTTCTCATAGAGGTTATCTCCTAGAGGAAAAGAGAACAAAGAAACAAGATATTTACAAACAGCAGTGGGCTCTATGAAGAAAATTGATAGAAAGGGAGCAAAAGGCTAGAGAAGCCAAATGCCATTGTCTCAGGGTCACACAGTGACAGGAATGCCCTCTCATTGTTCTCCATGGGTGCCTGGTGGGGCTTGCCTTGGGCTAATATTGGCCAGAGGCAATACTCAGAAGTTTCCCTGCTGGGTGCTGGGCCCACTGAAGATGAAGGTCGGGGCAGGAAACAGAAGAGGTGCACTCTGACTCTTCCTCCAGCTCTAAGCCCTGGAGAATAAAGCTCAGACAGGGCTGGCTTCAGGGAGCACGGCTCACCACCACTAGCTGCTCAGGTGAGGGGAAAACGAAGTCAAAAGATTATGCCCTCTGATAGTCCTGTCCTATTTTGCAGGTGCTGCTGATAAAGCTGGAACTCGAGAAAACCAGGTTGGCTGGGGATTGCTCTCTTCTTGGGTAGGAAGGAAAGCCGCAGGCTAGAGCCACCTTTAAATTAGCTTCTTATTAGATTTCCTGAGGCTTTATTTCATGAGAACACCCTGGAGATTCTGAGGGTTTTCACTCACAGCCCCCTCCCATCTCTATGAATAGAAAAGCTTTGCCCCAGGGCATGTTTTTAGCTAAGGAAAGGGTGTCTTGCCAGGATCATTTTTCCTCATTCCACAGGAGACCCCAGGGTCACCATAGCCAGGCCCAGTAGTCAGCTGAAATAAGCTGCCAGTCAGACCTATTCACCTGAGCCTCCAACTCCCCAGCCACCCCAGACACCTTGTCGGCTCTCAGACCACCTGGGATCCGGACCTGAAGAGTTGAAGAGTATGTCCTTGAAAAACAGCCAGCCAGCTCCAGGCCCAGCCTAGCCTGGGCGTCTGCCTTAATGGCCTGAAGAGCTCCTCCCAGTCTTTGAGCTTCCTAATCTGTCTCTATTGGCAGGTTCTGCTGCCTTGCCTTGTCTCATCTCAGCCTCCCTCGCCACAGCTGTGTGGCCACAGTGATAAATCTACACAGCTGCACAGTGCTTGACGGCTTGCAGGGCAATTTTATATCCATCACCTCATTTGATCTTTAGACATCCCTGTGAGAGAGGCCAGACATTCTTATAATCCCCATTTTACAGTTAGGGAAATGAGGCTCAGAGGCATTACATTTGGTTGAGGTCACATAGCTAGCAAGCGGTGGAGCTACAAAATCATATTACCCTCTAGTAGAAACGTAGTCAGTAACATCCCAAGAGAGGGGAGAGGGATCAGAATTGGATTACAACAGAAGACTAGAAACCAGGATGGAAACATGGGACCGGTGACTGAGCAAGCAGCCATTACTCATAGTGACTACTCTCTATCCTTCTCATCCTGCCAGCCAGCTGTGGTGCATCTACAGGGCCAAGGGTCAGCAATTCAAGTCAAGAATGGTAAGAATCAAAATAGGCTCTCTCCCAAAGAGGAGCTTCTCCCCTTCCTCCTCCCCAACCTCCAAATAATCACCCAGCCTAGTTCCTCCCAGGGCCCTGAGGTACCCTTGGCATACGAAGTCATTCTTTGCTCCATCATGCCCTCTACTGGCTGTCCTGAGCAATTGCTGGCATCAAGACCAGTTGCTACACCCAAATTGCATTTAGAATCACTGATAACGGAGCTGAAAGGGATTTGAGACATCATCTAGCCCAGGCATTCTCAGGCGATGGAGTTTATATCAGAGCCACCATGGAGATATGTGTAGTTAGATTAATATTTTCACAATACAAATTATAGAAAGTAAAACAATGTAAAATTAAATTCTTCCTGTCTGATGGATCTACGCAGATGGGCAGACGGGCTGCTTCTCTCAGGGCAAGTGGGGCATGTTAGAATCTCCAGGGAGTTGAAGATGCTAGTGTCTATCAAAAGGGAGAATGTGTTTAATGGGTTTAAGAAACACTGATTTATCATAATCCCCGCATTTAACAGATGGGGAAACAGAGTCCCAGAGAGATTGGATAATACATTAATAAATCATGCTGCCTCATATTGTATGATACTTTAGAGTTTTCAGCATGCTTTCTTTGTCTTTAATTTCATCCAGTCCTCACAACCACCCTATGAGGTAGGTATGAGCTCCTTTTTACAAAGACAGAAAGTGAAGTTCAGAGAGGTTAATTAACTTTCCCAATATTTCTTAGTCAAGTTAGTTTAGGAGCCAGGATTCAAAACTACATCTTTCTGACTCTTTCCTCTCCCCTATGCTACTTCAGTGATATGTATGTACACTCCACTGAATGATAAGGTTCATTTTCTTCCCCCAAAGAGACATGAACATTCATGAAAGAACAGCACTTTGGAATAATGTCCAGTCCCCAGAGTGCACAAAGCCTAAAATGCGTGAACCCCCAGGAGCCTTGGGAAGCAGCAAGCTAACCAAGATGCTAGATGCTTACAGAGCTTGGAGTGGAAGGGAGGGGTTTTGAGTACAGAAACGGTAAAGGAAGGTTAAAAAAAAAACCAGCTACCTGGGGACAGTTTCTAAGAACTCAGTCAGTCTTGAACTGGCTGTACTGAGTTTCCTTAATGACTGTATTTAGTTACTTCGCTGACTGCCACCTCCATGTCTGACTTAGTAGCCTCAGAAGTGTAAATAGGAAGAGAATGGCACCAAAACCCAATTGGTCCTGCTGGGGACCGCAAGGCCCTGAGTGGGCCATGATCCCCACCTGTCCAGGGAGGCCAGAGACAGGCCAAAATAGATTTGTTTGGGTATCTAGACAGATAGTGTTTCTTCTGTGCCAGCAGCCACTGATTTTGCTCCCACTGCCACACAGTAGGATTGTTTCCAGCCCCTCTGGGCCAATCCTCAGAAGCGGTCTGTGCTGACCCTTAGTACGACCAGAAGAAGTGATGGGGGTGGGGTGCAGTGGCTCACGCCTGTAATCCCAGCACTTTGGGAGGCCGAGGGGAGCGGATCACTTGAGGCCAAAATTTGAGACCAGCCTGGCCAACGTGGTGAAACTCCGTCTCCACAAAAAATACAAAAATTAGCTGGGCATAGTGGCACGCACCTGTAATTCCAGCTGCTCGGGAGGCTGAGACAGGAGGATCACTTGAACCCGGGAGGTGGAGGTCGCAGTGAGCCAAGATCACACCACTGCACTCCAGCCTTGGTGACAGAGTGAGTGACAGTCCCTCTCAAAAAAAAAAAAAAAAGAAGAAGAAGTGATGGGGTCAGGGATTGGAGGACGTCATGCAGAGTGGTCCACTGATGGGACAGAGCCAGGGCAGTTCCTCCTAACTCCTAGCCTATCTACTTACCACCTCAAGGAAAGATGGTCACCTTTTCCAGAAAACCTGTTTCCTTATCCCTCAGAGAGACAGGCCTACTGAAACTGACCAAAGATGGACTTATAAAATATAATTTCTTGGGTGCAGGATGGATGACTTAGAAGGGAAAAGGCTCCCTGGGCTTGGATGTCCTCCTCTCATGGTGGGAAGGAACATTCCTCTTTCTGCAGGATGGAAAGAGAAGATTTTCCTCCACCCTCACACGCTGGCTTCCACTGTCCAAAGGAATGCGACTGCCCCTCCACCCCTGCCTGGGGTGGAGCTGAGACAGATGTTTTGCCAAGGGTGCCTCGGCTCCTATCCTCCCGGCTGGCTCTGTTGCAGCCTGCCAGTCTATCTTTCACTCTCATAAGGATCCCTCTCACCTATGGGGCCCTGGTACTGGTGGTCAGTAGCCCCAGCTGCCGTGGAGTCTGAATCATCTCTAATCCCTAAGGTTCTCCAGATAGACAGTGGGCTGAGTGGTTTCCTCCCAGGGAGGCTTTCCAGAAAGCTGTGGGTGTGGAAGAACCATAAAAAAAGAATCTCTTAAGGAGAAAGAGAAAACCCATGAACCTATGAGACAAGAGGAATTCAGGAGCTCTGACTGGGAAAGTAAAATTGAATAATAAGACCTAGCCTGCCACTCAGTGTCTGAATTTTGCCTGTGCAGGCCCCATAACAACAAAGAAAATAGGGCAGCATGCCCACTCTCATCCTCCTCTGGCAAATTCCAGCTAGAAGGTAATGGTTAAAGACCCTTCCAGATGCAAGGGTCAAGAAAGGAAGTATAAAGACAGACAGGAGCCCAGGAGCCCTGAAGCAGGCCTGGCAGCTGCTTTACAAACAGAACAGCTTCTCTGCTTTCAAATGCTCTTCTTAAAGTTTGGCCTTCTAGGCTACCCTGGTTGCACTGGGATAGGGTTGGGGGTCGTGAACTCCTTGGTATTTATTTTCTGTTGCCTCGATTATTCTGACATGTACTGAGTGACTGCCCTTCTCTCATACTGAGATCTTTCAGGTGGAGTGCTCAATGACTGGTCTCGCATCACTATGAACCCCAAGGTGTTTAAGCTACATCCCCGCAGCGGGGAGCTGGAGGTACTGGTGGACGGCACCTACTTCATCTATAGTCAGGTAGAAGTGAGTACGGTCTTAGGCCTAACTCTTCTTATATCCAGAATGCAGATCCGGTGCAGACCACATAGGGGCACTGTGGAGCCAGCCAAGACCATCCAATGGCTAACTTCCTGCTTTGGGTGAGGGGGTGGGAGGGCCGCACTGGGAGGGAGTTGAAAGAAGGAAAGAGAGAGGAGGCCAGCTTGTTTTGTTTTGTTTTGTTTTGTTTTGTTTTGTTTTGTTTTGTTTTGTTTTGTTTTTCCCTAGCCAAATATTATTGAAAAACTGTGAAAAAGGCCCCTCCTACATTCTGCCATCTGATTCCCTCCTGCAGGGCCTCAGGCCCCTGTTTACCCTCCGAGCTGTTTGGCTCCACTGCCAAACTTGAACTTGGTCTCAGTATATTCTTTGAAAGTCAGTTCCAGGGTTACTGAGAACCCCTCCCCTCAACACTGCTGGCTCGGGCGTTATAATGAATAGTGCTCCTGCAGACTTTCTTTCCACCTCAAAAAGATTTCTGACTGTCTTTCCTTCCTCTTTCTCCCATTTGTTTCCCTATCTTTCTATTCCTCTATTCTTGCCTCCTTCCTGCTGTTATTCTCCCAGCCCTTTCTCCCTCTGCTTTTGTCCTCTTCCTGTCCTGGGCCCGCTCCCCAAGTCCGCCAGTGTCCATCTACTTCCATTCCCCGATTGTTTGCCTCCATGGGGATGGCTCCTTGGAGAGAGAGGAAGATGAGCCATGAGGTTGGGACTTTTGTGGGGTGGGCAGCAAGCAGGCAGGTGGGCAGAAGGACTATGGAACCAACACATGGGTGTCACAGGAGAGCGGCCAGCAAAGGTGGGCTAACAAGCATTTGCTAGGCACACTGAGCACCCCGGTGTAGCTTGGGTCCTGATCCATATGTGGCACCCAAATATGCTGTTCCCAGCTGAAGAGCTGATGGAGGGAGTGACCTTTCATAAAAAGATTTACATTGATATCTGAGAGTCCCAACACCCATGGGGCACATGGGCATAACCCTGATGTCCTATGAGCCAAGCTCCACGTGGTGGGGGCAGTGGGGGCGGTGGTGGGGGAGGGCAGATCACAACTTGGTGTGAGGTATGATGGATAAGGGTAGTGAAGGATGGAAAAATTAATTTTCTGAGCCTAGGAGAGAATTGAGAGTGGCCCATGCAGGCTGGGAAAATCCCCATGACATTAGGCCACTGAGCATTAGTTAGTGCTTCCTTCTGGCCACAAAGTCAGGGGCCTGGGCTTTTCCAAATTCTTTGTCTTGTTTGCGGTAGCTAGCTCTCCATCTCTCTGGACCTGTTTCCTCAATCATCAAATGGGAGGCTCAAGGGGTACTGTGAATCAGTGAGGGGAGTCCAGGCACAGGGGAGGGGTGGTGCAAGCTGAATAAGCTTCTGTTAAGGAGCTGAAGAAATCGCAAGTTGTTATATGACCTCTCTGGGGAATCAGTGACTTCTAAGTTTCTCCACAAATAGTCCGCGGGGCTCAAGGGTGGAAGTCGGTTTGTGTCTACGGCACTGTGTGCACACCTGCTATGTGCAGGGCACTCTGCTTCGTGTCACAGCTGGGGCAGGGGCGGGTGGGGATACAGGGACACGGTGAAGCTGCAAATAGGGCATGGTTCTTAGCCTTACAGAGTTTACGACAGGTGTGCTGTTGTAAGAAAAGTTTGCTCAACCAGCTGAGCCCCATGGACTAGGGGAAGGGCAATGCATCCGCCTGTCACCCTGCCTTTCCTGTTGGCCAGCTAGCACGCCTTCACATGGCACTGCCCCATCCATGGGGTATGCTGGCAGCTCATCTGAGAAGATTCTGTCAATTTACCACAGGGAGGGCCCCCCACCCTCTCTTTCCTCTCTTCCCCAATCCCTTCTTGTTGCCTCTCACTCAGGTATACTACATCAACTTCACTGACTTTGCCAGCTATGAGGTGGTGGTGGATGAGAAGCCCTTCCTGCAGTGCACACGCAGCATCGAGACGGGCAAGACCAACTACAACACTTGCTATACCGCAGGCGTCTGCCTCCTCAAAGCCCGGCAGAAGATCGCCGTCAAGATGGTGCACGCTGACATCTCCATCAACATGAGCAAGCACACCACCTTCTTTGGGGCCATCAGGCTGGGTGAAGCCCCTGCATCCTAGATTCCCCCCATTTTGCCTCTGTCCGTGCCCCTTCCCTGGGTTTGGGAGCCAGGACTCCCAGAACCTCTAAGTGCTGCTGTGGAGTGAGGTATATTGGTGTTGCAGCCACAGAGAGAAATGCCTCAGTGCTATTTATTCCCCAGTGACTCCAGGGTGACAAGGCCTGCTTGACTTTCCAGAATGACCTTGAGTTAACAGGACAGTTGATGGAGCCCCAGGGTTTACATGAAGCAGGACCTTCTTTGCTTCCATGTTGACTGGCTTATGGCATGACTCTTCAACCCCAAGGTCCCTGTTGTCAGATCTATTGTTTGTTGCACTAAAATGAGGATCCAGGGCAGCAGGCCAGAGAGAGCAGAGGTGCACTCCAGACTCTGGGGGTGGACATCTGACCCCAAGGGGCTGCTGCTCCTCTCTTGGGTAGGGTGGTGGTGGGGGCGGAGTGGGAAGGTAGCATTGCAGCCTGAGAAGGCCAGAGAGGGAAAAGGCAGGTGCTTTTGGCAAGAGACCATGAGAGAAACCTGCCAAGAGAGCATCCTTGGCAGTGGGGATGTTCTTTCTGCTCTATACTGTGGCCTGCAGGAGGGTCGGAGTGCTCTTCCCACTCCAGCTGACAGCTACATTGTGGCAGCTTGCTGGGCTTTGGGAAGGGGAAGTTTGCTCTGCCTTGGAACAATCACAGGGAATGGCCACAAACCTGCCCGCATAAGACCCTGAATCCGTCCTTGGGTCACACGTCTCTCATTTTATTTACAGCTGTGCTCCACACTCAGAAAACTCCCTGGGGTCACCTAGTTGCCCCCATTCCCAGCCTGACTAGAACTCCTGCCTTCTTTCTCCACAGAGCCTACCTCTGTCTGAGACAGGTGCCTAACCTGGGACCTGTGCTCATGTGAGTCTGGGATATTCTTTAGCTTACCTGGGCACAAAGAGAATTTTTCGTTTATTAAACAGTACAAATGTTTTTCATCCATTCCTAATCAATTCTGTCTGGAGACAAAGGGTTGGACTGGATGACCTCCAGAAGTCCCTTCCATTTCTAGTACTTGTGACTCTTAGCAGGTGGCCCTCACCACAGCCTTCTAAATTCCCAAACCCTAGGCTGCTCCTGGGCATTAGCAAGGCAGAGCCTTTTTACCTGGCCTAGAAAGGGCAAGGGGTGAGGATAGGACAGAGGGATTTTGTTCCAGTTTGCTGCAACACAAGTGGACATTAGGCCAGGCCTTACCTGAAAGGCCAGCTGCTGATGCCATACTGACCCAGTCTTTCTTCACTCTGGCTTCAAAAAGCCATAGCAGAGCATGGTCACCACAGATGCTCATGCTGCTCCTGTGAAGCCAGACTCAGGAGAAGCCAGTGTCTAGGCACTGAGCAGGGATCTGCCCCCTAGTTCAGGTCCAAATGCACCTTCCCCTAAACCCCAAGCTTCCCACCAGATCATGTGGTAGGACCCTCGAGGGCCTTACTTCAAAGTGCCTTGGCTCAGCCTGGCTTCTGGGTGCTAGGTCCAGCCCAAACCTGGGAAGACCAGCCTTGTACAGTCTGCTCCTCTTGTTCCTGAAATGTGTTTCCTTTTCAGGAGATGGGGAATAAGTTCCTTCAGGCAGCTGAAATTCATCGAGAACAGAGGGTACTTATTTCTCGGCTGTGCCTTCCCTTTCTAAGCAACCACACTGCTTGGCCCTTCAAGGGTCAGGGTGAGAGGTGATGGGCTAGGCCTCCATTGTCTGGTTGCTAACAACAGCCTTGCAACCCAAGGTGAGGTGAACTCCAGGCATGTGTCTGTCCCTAACTCCTATAAAGTGCCTTGGACAGTCTGCAGTTGTAGCAGAAACCAACAAGAACCTCTCCTTCATATTTGGAAAATAATTTCTCCTTTATTATCTCTTTTGAGGAAGGCAAGGCTGATAATATGACAAACATCATTGTTTAGATGAGGCTTAGTGAGGTAGCACTCTCAGAGCGTTTTGACCAGTTTAAGCCGCAGACCTGGAGCTTCAGCCAGGTCTGACTCCAAAGTTGTTCCATTATACCACAGCACTGTGTGGAATTTGAGGTCTAGAGAGAACGAATAAAAGTGGTAATTTGGAACTGAAATCCTTGAGGGCTCTAGGGAGAAACCCAGAGATGCCCGTTTTCATTCCTCGACGGTAATACCTGTCCTCTTGGCTGCCAGGGGCTCTGTGGCAAAAGGAGTCAGGCATTCCTTTGGGAAGCAGCCATCAACCTTAGAGCTCTTGTGTTCAGAAGAATCTTTCTGGCACCTTGTTGAAGCAGCAGGCCTCTGGGACCGACAGAGCTGGTGGCCTTTATGTTCTTTCACCCATCCTAGGAACCAGCCAACCATCATGTGTGGAGCCCCTACTGTGGGCAAGGTCCTCCTTCCATTACCCTACAGACAGCTTACAGGAGCCAGCTTGCTTCCCACAACTACTAGTGTGACTCCTTATCTCTTTCCACCATACCTTAGAGACTTTGATACTACCAGGGTCTCTCAGGGATGGAGGGAAGACCTGAAAGAGGACTGGTTCTGAGGCCAGAAAGATGTGAGGAGAGAGGAGGAAAAGTCTTCCTAAATTGTGCCCCTAAAGGGCATCCTGATACCATTCTATTCTCCGGACATGGAGGGGATGATAAAGGAAATAAGATCTCCACTGGACCCTTGATTCATTCTGAACCCTCCAAAGGAACTCCAGGGGGCAAGGGATGATGAGGGAAGCAATAGGTAGCTGGGGAGCCCTATTGCTGCTAAGTCATTGGCGGCAAAGTGACAAAACAATTTACTGATGAGAGAATGTGCAAATAGATGTACAGTTTGGAATTATGCTGGTGTGAGTTTGCCAGAGGACCAATGCTAGCATGGAGAATGGGACAAGGACATTTGTGGGCAAGCAGATGACAGAGGTTTGAAGGAGAATTGCATGGCAGGAGTCTCTGCCAGCTACTTGGGCTTCAACAGCCAAGCTGGCACAAAAGACAGCTGGCGGAGGCTGCTCGGCTACTGGTTACCTGGAGAAGTAGTATTTGCCTATTTCCCGCTTCGTCCATCCTGAGCCAAATTTCTTTTACTGAACAGGAAAGAGCTAGGAACCCTGGAGGTAAACAAAGACTTTGATCCATGTATGAGCGTGTGTGTTTATGTAACTTCCTGTGGACGCAAATAGATTCAGAGAAATTTAGAGCTAAAAAGGCCCTTAGAGGGAATCTAGCCCAACCTAGATTCCACCCTGTTACTTATGTAGAAACTGAGGCCCAGAGAGGGAAGATGACCTGCCCCAAGTGGTGAGCAAGCCCCAACCTCTAGAGTCAGCAGACTGAGGGGATAAAGCAGTTCCTGTCCCACATGGCCATCTTCTTTCTTCCACCCACAAACTCCAGGATGGAAGTACTTGGCCCTTTCAGGAGCCTGGCCAGGCAGGGAGTAGCTGCAGCCTTCATCAGAACTCCTCCTCCTCTCAAGGCATTCTCCCAGCTCTAGCTTCTGGACTGGAAAGCAGGAGACTGGCCCAGTACCAGCAAGTCCTTAGGCTACTGTAATGCTGCCTCAGGACCCATCCCTGCCTGAAGGCTCCTCTAGGCCCTGTGAGCACAAAGAATAAAGCTGATTTTTGTCTTTTAATCCATTTCAGGTCTCTCTCCAGGAGGGCTCGGGGTGTGTCATTTCTATATTCCTCCAGCTCTGATATTAGGGGGTGGGCTTTGTTGTGAGAATGGCCTGGAGCAGGCCCAATGCTGCTTTTGGGGGTCAGCATCCAGTGTGAGATACTGTGTATATAAACTATATATAATGTATATAAACTGGGATGTAAGTTTGTGTAAATTAATGGTTTATTCTTTGCAAATAAAGCGCTTTCCCTATCTGTTCTTGATATCCGCGTGAGCACTTCCTACATGTTAAGTGCTTCTTTGCAAATGACGCCACACATGAGCTAGGGGAAGGACCAAGGCACCCATTTCAGAGGCAGCAACAGAAGGAAGATGGTCTGAATTTCCTGTTGGAACATCCCACATCCTCTCTGTGCCTCAGACCACACTCCCACATCCCCATTACCTTAGGTCAGAAGAAGAAGAATTGTCTTGGGCCACAAATAAAATACACTAACACTAATGATAGCTGATGAACTAAAAAAAAAAAAAAAAAAGTCACAGAAAATTCTCATACTGTTTTAAGAAAGTTTATGAATTTGTGTTGGGCCCCATTCAAAGCCGTCCTGGCCCGCATGCCACAGGGTAGACAAGCTTGCCTTAGGTCTTCTGTGACCACATGACAAGCAGGCTAGATGTCCTGCCAAAAGGAACATTGTCCGGGGGCAGCAATACACAGAACTGACTCTCAGCTTAAGAATGTGGCATCTACAAAATACACTTCAGGCCTGGGCCCCAAATAGCTTGGGTAGACCCAGCCTCCAGCTCATTTTGCATATGAGGAAACCAACACTTAACGAATTTAAGTCACTCACCCAGAGTTACCCAACTAGTAAGTGTGTCAGCCTGGTCTGATTCCTTCCCAGCCAAGGCTGCTGTTACCTGGAAAAGTAGTATTTGCCTATTTTGCCCTCCATCCATCCTGAGCTAAAATCAATAGGGAAGAGGCTCACAGGAAGAAGACCCGATAGCAGCTCAAGAACACGTAGCTCAAGAGAGGTCTGGCGCTTTTCACAATCCCAGCACCTTTCCCCCCGGGCCCCCACCAATCTTTTGGCTTCCCCGGGCCCACCCCCGTGCCATCGTATAGGTGGAGCAATGTGCACACAGTAGACCACAACAAATCTGCAATGGCCAGGTATGCATGGGCTGGGTGTTGCAGCCCAGGCTGGTCCTCTAGCCACCTTAGAGTTTTGTTTTGTTTTGTTTTTTTTTTAAGGAAACCAGTCACAGGAAAGCTGCAGACTGTTTAAAAACACTTTATGGAAGCTCAGGGAAAATGTAATCTCTGGCACAACAAGTAACAAAGACAGCAGAAAAGCAGAAGCATGTCTTTGGCCACTGTATACAAATCATCACATGAGGCAGGCACCCAGGGTAGAGGCAGCAGCTCACACTGCAGTAAACACGCAGGATGTTGTAGACCAAACTGACGAACGTAATGCAGGTAAATCACTGGACCAAATGGCACCCACCCAAGAGGAATGGAATGAGAGGGCTGTGAGCCAAATGTTGTAGCCTGTCATTGCAACAGCCATTAGACCAAGAGTCTGAGAGACTTGCCATTCAGAAGGAGAGTTCTTTATGGCTGCTAAAAGCCAGGCGCCTCATTTCCATCCTGAGCAGGCTGGCTGACTCTCAAACAAAGGGCAGAATTATAGGGCCACGCAAGTATAGGCAAGTTGCTGAGGGAACAACAGAGAAAATTAGGCCTGAGTCCAACCTATTCTGTTATAGCTTTATGAGGCGGAAACTGAGTGCGGGCTAGTGGGTAGCAGAGGGTATTTAGGGCATTGTTTGCTCAGGGACAGGAAATGAGGAAAATGGTTGGAAAAGAAAATGGTTCACGTAGCTCTCCAGTTTATAAAGTTCAATCACATCCAATATTGTTTCATCTTCCCAACAGCCTTTGAGGTAAGCAGGGGACAGATTGTTAGTCTCATTTTATAGATGAAGAAAGGAGGCTCAGAGGTGACTGATTGCCCCACAGTCACGTGGCTTGAAGTTGGTGGAGCTTGAACTCAAAGCCCACTGGCTCTGCAGGTCCCAGTCCTACTCCTGTAGGAAGTAGGACTCAATGCCAGGAGATGGGGCTCAATGCCAGGAGATGGGGCTGTTTGACAGCTAGAGAAGGAGAGACATGCGCAGGGATTCCAGAGCCCTCGAAACAGAGGAGTGGGTGCACACGCAGTATCAGAACATGGGCTTTTTATTTTGTCCATTGTTTTCCTCAATGCTGGCACCAAAGTGCCTTCAGGGCACCTCTCCCCTAGGCTCTTCCCTGTTTCTTGGGACTGTCTCCTATAGCTGCAAAGAAAGGGCAGAAAAGAGCTGGAAGGAAAAAGAAATGAAGTGGGAAAAGGAGTGCAGAAAACAAGCAAATGAACAGGCCCTCCCCATAAGGAGGTCAAATCAGGAGCGGGAGCCCCATAGGTGACTCTTGTCCTCCTGTTCTCACTGGGTCCATACCTTCCAGCCAGGATGAAGGCTGCTGGGGATGTCTGTCAAATTATCTCCAGCTCCTGGGTCTCTGAGATACCAAACTTGGTCTTATGCTGGTCAAACAGTTTACGTAGGGCATCAATATAGAGTGCGTGATATTTAGCCACGATCTCCTGGCTTGGATTCTCAATCTTGGGCATTGGTAGAGGCTCCCCGACTGCCAGGGGAGACAATGAAGGAAAAGAGAAAAGCATCAGAATAGCTCATTCCTCAGAATAGGCCCCAGGCCTCAAGCCCAGACTATCCCCATCCTCACCTCAAAAAGCTGCCACTCATCCTAGCCAGCCTCCCTGCCTCTGAGCAGAGTCAGAGCTGAGGTTCAGCCTCAGAGCTAGATCCTGTGTCCTAGACTGAGGCTGCCAGCAGAAAGGCCCACTCACCAATGGTGGTTACAGGCCGACTATAGGGCAGAAGGCCCCAGGATTTCTTGGTGAAGCCACGTCCATAGAAAGCACAGGGGTAGATGTGTATCATACTCCGGAACCACTTCTGGAAGCGGTTGACAAAGCCACCAGGTGTGAAAATGTGCTGATCATAGAGGTCTGTCTCCCCAAAGGCATACGCAGGTATTAGAGCCACCCTGCAGAGCAAAAGCATATCCTGTGAAGCCCAGAAAGGTAGGGACTTTGTCAAATGCCAGACACGCTGACGGCCCGTGATCCCTGGGTCTGCCTACAGGCTTCCCAGACCTCAGTCCAGCTGTGCCTAGGTCCAAGTTGAGAGCTCCATGGCCTACCCCTGGCTGCCTGTGGGGGCAAAGCAGTAGTAAGCTAAAGGAGGAGGCAAGCTCAGACCCTCCTGGGAACCCCTGGGTCTGAAACGGTGGAAGGTAAGACCCAAGGGCCATGCCAGTTGATTTTCTTCACTTTAACACAAGCTAAGCTTGGCTCTCTCTGAGACAGAGTTGTTGCCAGTCCCCTTGTATAGAGGGACCGGCCCAGATGAGAGGCTGCTGTGAGGGAGAACAGGCTCAGGGCTGGCCCTCTGCCCTTTCTACTTCAGCAGAAACGCCTCCAGGACCTGGTCTCAGCTCTTCAACCCAGAGGTGGCTTTCCTCCTCCCTCTTTTTTTTTTTTTAACTTATTTATTTTTTTAATTGACAAAAAAAATTATCTTCCTGATGACCATAGTTCATAAGAATGTATTGTATACTTCCTTCTCTCTCTGTGGATGTCCTTTCCTCAAAACCCCGTCTTCTTCTTTCCCTGCAACACTTTTGGATCCCTTCCCCCAGCCTGGACTGGAGCTGTCCTTACCCATGCTGAAGGGCCGTGCGCACAAAACCAGACCGGTTCTTCAAGACCAGGGTGGAAGAGCCTGGCAGGCTGTATCTGCACTCAGCCAGTCCACCAACCACCACAATGATCATGTTGCCTGTGCCTTTATGAGTCAGCAGAAAGTCGATGGAGGATTGACTTACAGAGCAGATCCCTGGTGGATAGAAAAAGCCAAACAGCCATTGGCCACTTCCCAAACCCCTACATTTCCTCTCTACTGCTTCAAAGGAGGGACAGTGCAAAGAACCTCACATCAGGCAGGTGAGCCTATGATAGCTGTTTCAGACCAGAGGGGATCGGGAGCTGGCCTTGCTCTCATGCATCCCCCTACACTTCTCCCTTGGGGAGCCATTTTTTCTTTGGCTTTGTGTCCTAGGAGCCAACTTACCTGCAGACATTACATATTCCCTGAGGAAAGGCATCCAGAAAAAGGCTCCCAGTGTGAGCACGTAAGGGGTGATGCCAGGAAATATCTTGGAGAAGCCTGAGGCCTCTGTGGCAAAGTGGCCAAACCATCCACAGGCCAAGATCCCATGAGGGTGGCAGACGAGGATGTAGTTGCGGCTGGGGGAGATGTCATGAGTCTTCAGAAGCTGCGGAAGAAAGCAGAATCAGGAGGGCTATCCCCAGGGTATAGAACTCCTCTTTTGGGCAGAGATCTGAAAAGAAAAGGACTGCTAGGTCTAACCATGCAGATTGCCCAATGTACAACTCCAGGGGGCGTCATTCTCAAGAGCTTCAATGTGGATGGCGCCCTCCACCCCTAGCCTGACCCAACTCTTAGCACTGAAGTCGGGGCTGAGCCCAGGCCTGAGTGGGGACCTGGGGCTACTGACCTTGAGAGGGAAGTAATCCCTGTAGTGTTTCCACAGGCGCCAGTGCCTCACACAGGTAAACCGGCGGCCGCCTGAAAACAGAGGCAATGCAGCCAAGCTTTGTCCATTCCCACTGTGGGCCTGCCCTAGGGTGCTCTCACCCCCTGCTGTTTCCTGGCCTCTTAAGTGGCAACGAAGGTGGGCATATCAGGGCAATTTAGGGCAGGCCTAGCTTCTGCTTCACTAGCTGCCCCTCCCCTAACCTACTCCAGTTCTGATCTGGGCCTTTCTACCACATTAAAAGGACCCCTTCCCTCAGCCTCTCTAGCCCAGGGAGGGACAGGCTAAAGGGCTGTCTGGGAATTGGCCAGAGCCTCTCAGGATTGTGATGAGAGAAGGGGAAAGAGCATGTGGCAACACAGCACCAGCAGGACCCTTACCTCGCTGAGGGGTCTTCCAGTCAAAAGCCAGCCAGATGAGAATAAGCACAGTGACAGGCCAGTATGGTGTGAACACCACCAGGTAGAGGTTGACAATGGTCACAGTGGTTGCTGCAGGAAGCCCAGACCAGAGTTAATGAATTTCAAGCGGTCCCTCATACTTACCCTATCTCTGGAGTTCTGTCCATCCCAAAGTCATATGCACTCTCTCTCACACATACCCACTCAACACTCTCACTTCTTCACCCCAGCACCTGGCCCACCTGCCCATGTCCCCAGCCCCCTCTCCTATCTGGTCTTGGAAACCTGATTCAGGTCTAGAAGGCAAGGTGTCTTCCTCCCTAGCTGAGCTTCACACTGTAAGCCCTCTCCTCCCTGCGCCCTGCTCCAGCACTGCACTGGGCTCTGCCTGCAGTGTGGTCAGTGGCAGTGAGCCAGTGGTGGGCCACCAGAGGTGGGGAATCCTGGAACAGTTTTCCTCCAATTCACATCCCACTCTCCATATCTTCTCTCTGAGGCATTAGTTAAGGGAATACCAGGGAAAGCACAAACCCACCTTCAGCCCAGTTGGGAGCACACCAGATGGCAAAGAAACAAAGAAAAATACAAACCGGAATAGAATAAGGTACTGGGCTGTATTAAGTTCCAGTAAGATAGGAACGCTGTAGGTTAGTGTAGTTAGGAAGAGTTACTAGAGATGAGTCATAGGGAGCCACACTCAGAATTATTACTGAACTCAGTTTTGAAGGCAGCTGTAAGTAAGATTATTTGGGAAAGTAGGTCAATAAAAGGTTAGAAAAGACAGAGAACATTTCAAATTGAACATCGTAGATTGAACACAAGTTTTTGCCTTGACTTCTTGCTGGAGCTCCATGAAAATTATCATTAAAATGTTTTTTAAAATATAGATCCACAAGGAGAAAGAGAATTAATGAGATGCCAACAGCAGATAAGAGATATTAGCAAAACATTTCCATATAGGACAGCAGATGGAGGAGGGGGTAACTGACTTAGAACAAAAAAATTAAAATCTAGTTACCTGAAGGGGGATGCCTACAAGATGTGAGCCTATTTGCACTGGAGGATCTAGGAAAGATTCAGAATTTGGAGGCATCAGGTGCCACAAGAGGCAGGGATGAGGCACAGGGCTAGAAAAACTGGAGGACAGGTTGAAAGTCTGCCAAGGAATTAGAACCCCAGGTTCCCTCTCCTCCCCTACACAACTAGATGATGGGAAGATTGTTCCCCGAAAAATTGAACCAAACAGACTCTAGACTCAAATACTTACACTAGACACAGCTAAGATATTATATAAGCAGTCAAACTATTAATCAAGTATATAAGTGGAATAAAGGCAATTTCAGATGCACACAGTCTCAGATAATTTGTCTCCCATGCTCCTGTCTCAGAAAACTACTGGAGAATGTGCTCCACCAAAATGAGGGAGTAAACCAAGAAAGAGGAAGGCATAGAATCCAGGAAAAAAATGACCCAATGAAGGAGGGCAGCAAGCAGGGCCAGGGATAGGGAGAGGTGAGCAAGGTGCCCAGGGCACAACATTGAGCAAGACACTCACTCTCAGGTCATGCAAGTACTGGCCCATCACTTGCACAGCCCTGAGAGTGAGCACTTTCTTAAATTGTGCACCCAAGGTGCCTCAAGGGCCCTGAAGGTGACAGCTGTGCATGAGGCCAAATTGTAACAGGAAGATGCTGAGCTCCAGCAGCGATGTTCTAAAGGAAATAAAATGATGGGGGGGACTTAGATTCTTGTTGCATTTGCCCATACTGAGAGATTGACATGTCTGCAGAGATTCAGAGGGTGAATTCGTGATAACTAATAGATTTCTAATAGATAACAAAAGAAACGTAAAATGAAGCAATTAACTACAATTCATTTCAGTGCATGGTATGAGTAAGGCTACAACTAGAGTTTCTGAATGAAATGAACGATTTTCCTGATACTTTGTGGTAAGAAACTCATCCCCTAAATGGCTTTAGGATGCTTCACTATGAAATATTAAATTTGTGTGCCTGTTTCAAGACCACTGTACTCAATTTTTTTTTTTTTTTTGACGGAGTCTTGCTCTGTCGCCTAAGTTGGAGTGCAGTGCCATGATCTCAGCTCACTGCAACCTCCACCTCCCGGGTTCAAGCAGTTCTCGTGCCTCAACCTCCCCAGTAGCTAGGATTACAGGCGTGCACCACCACACCTGGCTAATTTTTGTATCTTTAGCAGAGACGGGGTGTTGCCATATTGGTCAGGCTGGTCTCGAACTCCTGATCTCAAGTGATCCACCTGCCTCAGCCTCCCAAAGTGCTAGGATTACAGGCATGAGCCGCTGCCACCGACCTGTACTCAATAATTTTATCTGTGAATTCTAGAGTCTGTGAAGCTTTTTATGTAACAGTTTTCTGCCCAACATTTCATAGGGAACGTTCACAACTGTGCTTCCTCTTTTCTAATCTCAACGGTTTCTTTTTCCAGATAAACTTTGAAATTATTTTGTCAAATTGCAATGATGATACTTCTAGGATTGGAATTAGGTATTTTTAATCCTTATGTTAAGTAGAAAAAGTTTTATTTCTAAAAATTATTTAGTACTTAGATTCAAAAATTGATTTTAAAATATTACATTAAAAATAAAATAAAACGAGGCAATTATTAACTTCAGGGAAAACAAGAAATTCCACGGGAAAGGAAATATAATCTTGGTGACTAAATAGCTCAATTATGAATCATATTTTCTAGTCATAGGCATTTAACCAAAACCTGTGCTGTAACAATTTTGGGAAGATGGGGAAAGAGGAAGTTCCAGTGATAGTGTATACAGCCAAATTCTCATCTTCCATATTAGGAAGTCAATAGACAATGTCTAAAATTGTTACATCAGCAAATAATAAGATTTAGAAATATGGAAGTAAATTCCAGAAGAAAGAACCAACAAAGTTGAAAAGCACTGCCTTGGGAAAGAGCATTAAGGGTGGAGCAAAGGCCAGTAGTTCTTGGGTTTTGATAAGCACCATATGACACTACTGACTTCTTCGAGAAGTAAAGAGAGGCATGAGCCTAGTCCAGAGGACACCTCCCAGTTTCCTTTAGGCTCTGCTCAAACCTAGGCAGTGCTGGGGACATCTTGTAAGTGTGGCCTCAGGTAGGGTGCCCTGTGATGTGATGAATCTTGGATCTGCCACTTACTGTGTGTGACCAAAGACGTTGCTGAGCCTCAGTTCCTCATCTGCAACATGGGAACTAAAATACCAATATCTGCCCTATTTCCCTCACTTATTGGGAGGGCCTTCTCTCAAGGCCTTTACGGTCCAAATGGATTCAATTGCACTCCTAGAGTGAAGAGCTGAGAGGCCTGCGAAGGGCCATTGCCCCACTTGCCCTATGTGAGCTAGTGAGAAAGGGGCAAACACTGGCAGCCCACGTCTGCTGCCAGGACCGAGAGCTCTTCTGCCTGCCCTCTCTGTACTTCTTAGTATACCCAAAGTCAAACTCCAGTTAGGAGTCCTCTGAGTCCATTTTGTCCCTGGACTCATCCCCTTTCAGCCACTCTCCTCCTTAACCCTTCTCCGCTCCACCTGCGCCCCTGCCACCTCACACTGGGACCTGATCCCTCAGTCTTGCTTCCTCCATTTCTCTCGTGCCCTGTCCCCATCTTCAAGTCCTATTAATTTGACTCCAATTTCTTGAATCTCCCCTCTTCTTTCTTCTTCTCTGCATCACCATCACTAATGGCCTGGTCCAAATTACTGCCATCTGGATTACTGCAACAGCCTCCTACCTGGCATTGCCCCCTTCACTTCTATCTTCCTATGATCAGTTTACTTCACAGAGCTAGAGTAATCTTTGATGCCATCACCTTGTGTCAATCTCCCTCATGGCTCCACATGGCTCTCAGAAAAAGTCCAAACTCCTTTCCATGGTTTACAAAGCCCTATACAATTTATTCCCTGCCTGTTTCTCCAGTATCTTCCTTCTTCCCTCTCTTGTTTGTTCATTCATTCATTCAATATCTATCGAACACCAATTCTGTACTTCTCACCCTCCACCTCACTTAACCACTGGCAGCTTCTTGAATGCATTATGTGCCCTTTGCCATCCTAGCTTTTCCATGTGTTGCCCACTCTCTGCCCCAAATGCTCTTCCTTTCTTCGTCTATTTCCTATTTGTCCTTCAAGAGTCAACTCAAATTCAAGAGAAAAATGGGCAGAGGTCATAAATGGGCAGTTAACAGAAAAAGAAATACTAATTGCTGATAAGATGAAAAGATGCTCAATCTCATCAGTAATTAAGGACGTTCAAAGTGAGGCGACAGCTAATGTTTCTTGCCTGTCACTTCTGGGTGGAGGTAGTAAGGACTGCGGATGAGTTCTCCATTCACTTTCCCTCCCATGCTGTGGTAATCCCTCAAGTTCCATTTTGCAGCGACACAATTTGGTGGTGCCTCCATCTGCCTGAGTATTAGTGTCCACAGTGAGCGGTGACTCCCACCAACCTATGTTGGACATTCAGCATGAACAAGAAGTAACCATTTGCTGGGTTAAGCCACTGAGATTTCAGGGTAAATTTATCAGCACGGCATAACTAGACCATCCTGATTAATACACCCTGAATGCTCTCACTTTGCAAATGAGGAAAATAAGACTCAGAAAGGATAAATACCTTGCTAACAATTGCACAGATAGTAAGTAGTAGACCTGGAATTTGAAAACAAGTGAGGTGAGGTAAGGAATGCCCACCCTTCCTATTCACTGGCATGCCTCTGTGGCAGCCCTGTGCACCAGGGCCTACTTGCATTCTTTATTCCTAGATAGTTTACAAGGTCACTTAATTCATGTCCCTGACTCCAGCCGGTACTCACCTGAACCACTGGAAAGGCGAGAATGTTTTCTAGGACCCCTTCCCACAGTAATGATTTGTTTCAGCATTTAGAACACAGTGGCCAGCATAGAAATAACTTTGACCAAGTGTTCGTAGTGTAGGTGTTGGAAGACATGGATGGATAAATGGTCAAATTCCTCTGGACGAGGTTTCCAGAGCCTCAGTCTGCCACCTGACCCAACTGTCTGTCACTGGTGGTTTGCTTGAGTCCCTGTGATTGCAGCTAAGCCCTTTTCCTTGGCTAGCCTCAGTGGAACTGCTCCTCATCTTCCCAAAGCATGCCCTCTACACCCCAATGTAGACCCAGGAGGGCTCACACCTGCAGCAAAACCCGTGTGCATACACACGCATATACACACCCCTGCATAGGCACACACCCATATGCACACACACATATGCCCACAGGGACACTCACAGATCCCACAAATACCATGGCCAACCTTCCTGGTTTTGCTGGAACAACCCTAGTTTGACCACTGAACGTCCTGCAACCCTAAAATCCTTCAGTCTCAGGCAAACCAGGATGGTTGGTCACCCTACCAAAGGCTGAAGACTCACTGATAATAAAGGCAATGGAGATCCAGTGGAAAAGAGCAAAGACCTCCAGGGCGGTCTTGAGGTCCTTCTTAGAGGGCAAGAACATTTTGCCCAGCGTCCCAGTGGCTCCAGTTAAGCGCTGTTCAGCTGCCCAGCCCTGATTGCTCAGGAGTCTGTGATGTTCCCTCTCTTAATGTTTTCTTCTCCAGCCCCTGCCTAGTCTCCGCCCCTGTACCACCACCCCCCAACAAAATTACAGGACCACATAACGCCTCTGCTTATCCTGTTCCTTCCAGCTGCCCACTCACCTGTACTTTTACCCACTTGGGTATTGCCTGGACTGAGATTGTGACACTCCTTTGCACACTTGGCTAGAGAAATGTGGATGAAGCCCTGGAGTGGGAAGTTAGTGTAGGCGTGCAGCTGACAAGAGGCCTCCAGGGCCAGTCTGGATGGTGGAGGGTGATGGGCAGGAGGGAGCCCAGGGCTCAAATAGGACACAGGACTTGCATTTCTGTTTCTGAGGCCCAACTGTCTATGATCTCTCAGTGACAATGTGATTGGAGGGCAAAGGGAAGGAGGTCACAGGCCAGGCCTTAGAAATACCTTCAGCCTTTTGGTCAGTCTGGGAGAACTCATTACTCACATTGAAGAGACATCACATGTATGTCTGTGAGCTATCATAGGTACTGAATAAAACTGTTATTGAAAGAAGAAACAAATGTTAGGGTATATTATTCTGTGTACATGAAATTTTAGAATAGGCAAAACCAATCTGTAGTGAAACAAATCAGAGCAGTGGTTACCTGTGCTGGGGGATTGACTAGGAAGGGGCATGATGGAAATCTTTAGGGGTAACAGCGACGTTTTCTGTCTTGATAGGACTTTGAGTTACACAGATCAAAACCTCATTACTCAGTGAGTATACACTTAAAATTTGTACATTTCACTGCCTGTGGATTTTACCTCAAAAGTAAACAAATATAGAACTCTCATTAATTCTGAAGTGTTTAGGGGTGAAGAATACTAGGCTGGGCATGGTAGCTCACACCTGTAATCCCAGCACTTTGGGAGGCCAAGGCAGGAGGATCAGTTGAGGACAGGAATTAGAGATTACAGTGAGGTATGACTATGCCACTGCACTACAGCCTGGATGACAGAGTGAGACCCTGTCTCTAAAAAAACAAAACAAAAAAAGAGTGCTGATGTCTGCAATTTACTTTGAAATACATATAAAATATACTGATGGGTGGATACAGGGATGTATTGATGGATAAATATGTAATAAATCAAACATAGCAAAATATTATCTGTGCAATCTAGGTGGTGGGTGTTCACTGTACGATTCTTTCAACTACTCTGTAGGTTTGAATTTTTTAATAATAGAATTTTGAAAAAAGAGTTCCCTCAAGGTCATACTTTGGGAGACCGAGGCAGGTGGATCACCTGAGGTCTGGAGTTCGAAACCAGCCTGACCAACATGGAGAAACCCCATCTCGACCGAAAAATACACAATTAGCCGGGCGTGGTGGCACACGCCTGTAATCCCAGCTACTCGGCAGGCTGAGGCAGGAGAATCACTTGAACCCAGGAGGCGGAGGTTGTGGTGAGCTGAGATTGCACCATTGCACTCCAGCCTAGGCAACAGGAGCAAAACTGTGTCTCAAAAAAAAAAAAAAAATTCAGTGGCTCGCTCCTGTAATCCCAGCACTGTGGGAGGCTGAGGTGGGTGGATCACTTGAGGTCAGGAATTCGAGACCAGCCTGGCCAATATGGCGACACCCCGTCTCTACTAAAAATACAAAAAATTAGCTGGGCATGGTGGCGCGTGCCTGTAATCCCAACTACTCCGGAGGATGAGGCATGAGAATCACTTGAATCCGGGAGGCAGAGGTTGCAGTGAGCTGTGATCCTGCCACTGCACTCCAGCCTCGGCAACAGAGCATGACTCTGTCTCATTAAAAAAAAAAAAAAAATTTTACAAATGTGACTTTTTTTCATGCACATACATGTGCACATGTGGTCTTTGCCTGTGAGCATATATATACAAAGGGAAAATACATATCTAGTTGTCAACACATGTTTGTATGTGCACATTAGTAGGTGGCATCTCCAAGTCTGTGTGTGATGGGAGATATGCGAGTGTGAAAGATACCAAGTCCAGCCAGGTGTGTCCTATAGACCAAATACATGGAAGGGTGGAAGCCTGGAAGGGTGTCTTAATGCAACATCTAATTATTATCAGGACATAATATATACCAGGCACCATTCTGGGCAGCAAAACAAACTAAAAAAAAAATCATGCTTTTGTGAAGTTTATATTCTGGTGGAGGAAGTTTGTCTTCCTCCGTCTACTTCCTCCTTCTACTAAAATGATAGAAATTAATTAATTAACTAATTCTATAGTGTGTTCTAAGGTGATAAAACCTACGGGGAAAAAACATTTGAGCAGAGTAAGAGGGATGGATGCAGAGTGCTGGGCAGTGGGAAGGGATCAGGCAGGGAGAGCAGGTTTTACAATTTTAAAAGGAGTGATCAGGAAAGGGCACGCTGAGAAGGTGGCATTTTAGCAAAGGCTTGAAGGAGATGAGGAAGCAAGCAGTGTGGCAATTTGGATTGAGAATGTTCTAGGCAGAAGAAACAGTAAGGGCACAGCCCCTGAAATAAGGTGTCCCTGGCAGGTCATGAGGAGGAGCAAGAAGACTTGAATCAAGTGAATGAGAAGAACTGAGTAGGTGACGGCAGAGAGCAGAGAGCCTGGCAAAGGCCTGCTCATGGAGGGCCTTGTAGGCCAATATAAGGACTCAGCCTTCTACTCTGACCGAAATGGGAAGCCTCTGTAGGGCTTTGAGCAGACAAAAGTCAGAATGACTTAAGTTGCTAAAGGGTAGGGAAGAAGGAAGAGACCTTTGAGGTGCTACGACAATAATCCCCTGTGAGAGATAACAGTACCTCACACCAGGTTGGTGGCAGTGGAGATGGAAAGAAGTAGTTGGATTCTCCATGAACATAGAATTCCACAAAAGACCGTTTGGCAGAAGGGCTGGAGTTGGGACGAGGCAGAGGAATAACATTCTGTACGGCCCTGTGGGAAGGATCTGCACTTGCCTGCCAAGGGGAAGCCAACTCAGCACAGCTGGGGTTGGGCTGTGGGCCAAGTGCGTGGAGCCCCAGGACACTTCCAGGGGCCAGCACCCAGGCAGCGAGTGGAGACCGCAGCAGCCTGAAAAGAGAGGAAGAGCTGCCTACCAGAGAAGAAGGCCTGGGACTGAGAGGCCACTTCACTCCCTCCTCTGAGACACTCCTGAGACGGGCCTCATTTGTATCAAGCCTGGCCTTGCGGAACTGTGTTGATTCCACCTCTTCACACATCTGTCCCCTGCCCCTGATGCCTCACTCTCCCATCTTGGTCTGGGAGCTCTCAGGGGCAGGAATTGGGTGGTTCTGGGTCTGACTGTTCTCACGTGCCCAGCCCCTAACACAGGCCACACAGTAGCCACTCACTGACAATTGTTATGAAAATGCCTGAGTGGATGGAGGCCTGGCCCATATGGCACTGGGCAAGTCTCTGAGGCTTGGTTTCCTCACTTCTAAATAGGAGATAATGAATGGTCACTCTCAGACATGTGAGAATCCAGAGAAGTCACAGATGGTCGATCACTTTGTGAACCGTGAAATGGTGTCCAAACACAGGTTGCCACCGTTGCTGCCATTGAGAGAAGGGGTGGGAAGGATACAGTGGGGCACTGAGGAGTGAAGGCCCAGAGCCAAACTGAACCTGTCCCAAAATGGGCTTCCCTCCAACAGCATCACTGTGGAGAAAGAATGGCAGAAATTCTGGAGCAGAAGCCATGGCAGGGTGAATGTTTTGGACATTTTGGAAGCCCTGCCTTCTCGTCCACAGAAAGAAGGCCATGTACCTAGCTGATGCATCTGCGTGCATCCCCCCCCATCCTAACACCAAACAGAGAAGTGGTCAAGATTGTGTGGGGGCTTCCAGTCCTTAGTCCTATCCCCCTCCACCATCTCTCCACTCTATCCTCACAACATTCCTGGACTTTCTGAGACTCAGAGATGGTCAAAGCTGGAAGGGTTCTTGGAGTTTTCCATTAATAATCCCAAGCTACTCAGGGGAAGACTCTCCATGGCTTTCATTGAGACCCCTGCCAGTGAAATCTTTTTTCATGCTCTCAGACCCAGGCTCAAACCTCACTGGTCCTACTCTCTAGGCTCCTGGAAACAGATGAAAAATAAAGCCAGTCATTCTTCCTTTACATAGCAGTTTTTACTCTGTCCAGGTAGGGTTGTCAGGTAAAATAACAGGATGCCAGTTAAATTGGAATTTCAGATAAACCATGAACAATGTTTGAGTGTAAGTATGTCCCATGCAATATTTGGGACATACTTACACTAAAACATTATTGCATGGGACATACTTCTACTCAAACATTATTTGTTGTCCATCTGAAACTCAAATTTAACCAGGTTCTGTACTTTTATTTGCTAAATCTGGCAACCCTATGATCAGACCGGGATCACGTGGTCAAAGCAGTTGGCACACCCTGGCAGCCACAGCCGGGCCTTGTCTGGCACATCCAGAGAGCAGACCCCATTCAGTGGCTCACGAAGTCTGAATGTCATCCCCAATTTCTCAGCTGCCCCAGAAATCAGGCTAGCCTCCATCTCCTGCGCTTAACGGCTTACTCAGATTCTTCCAGCAGAGTCCCCACTGTGCTGAGGGATATTTCCTGCATGCCCAGCACCCACTGCCAGCCCACTCATCTCTTCTGATTCTGGTTCAAGGGCCAGTTCTCGCTTTCTCTCATTTAGCAAACTAAGAATGATCAGGGTATGGGAGCCTACCTAAGAAACCAAAGCAGGACATTAGTGATGGAAGGCAAAGAAAATCAAGCATGACAGTTTGAAAGTGCCAGAGCGGGCCTCTTCTGACTCAGAGGATTGGAGATGGTCACTGTCCTCTGCTCTGGTGGGTAACATGTACCTTTCCTGTTTCCAAAGGGCTCCTGGGATTGGCAGCTTTCACATGGCCACTTTTTCCCAAACATTCACATTCACCTCCAACCTCATGCCACTGGTGACAGTAACAAGTCTCACACTCTCCCGGGAATGCTTATGCA